TTTTTTTTTCTTCAGGGGTTTTTTGGTCGATGTGCTCGTAAGAGTGCGCCAAACCTCCGCCCATCCTCGTTCTGGCAGCCAATACGAGACAGGGGCCGCAAACATCAAATCTCTGTGCTCAAAGACCTTCAGTTGGTCTTGCAAGACGTCAGCCAGCAGCGGCATCGCCACGATCGTGTACTTTCGGCTGGAGTCCCCACCTTTCGAGCGCCGAAAGACCACTCGGCTTAACGACTGGACTGGAACGCAGATTTCAATGACTAAGCCTTACGGTATTATCACGTGACTGCCACTCCTCTAGCCCAGCAGCGAAAAAATCCCGGCTTCACTCCGCTTTTGAGAAGTCGAGGCTTCGCATCGGAAGGTAGGAATTGGCGATTCAGCAGATGGTCACGCAGCGGCTCGCCCTTCTCAACATCACCAACGTCGGCAATCCGCCATCGCATCTATCACCATCTGTTGATCAGGGCATTGACAGCTCTGACACACCGGACGGCACGCTTCCGCAAATCCATTCTCACGCCATGTCGGCCCCCATCCGAAACGTGCCGCGAGTGGCATCGCGCGCATTCTCGCACTCGGCCGCACCTCAGGTCTCTCGCACCGGCTCGACGTCCTCCTCGGCCAGCACCATCGGCTCATCCGCTCCTAGCCCCGCGCGATCCAAGCACCTCAAGCGCCAGCAGCGCAGCAAGGATGATGTGCTCCGCAGAGCTGTGGAGCTCTACCACTTGACACCGTCGTTCCTTCCCACAGCTCCGCGAGGCGTCCTCGCCGCATCCATGTCCGGCAGGAGCTCGGCGCCCAGCGCATCGTCCTCCGCATGGGACGCTTCGCTCGACACCGCAATCTACGCTTCCATCCTCAACACCGACTCGGTCTCCCGCCGCTCGCCCAACCTTGTTGCAAGGGGCCTGCCCGAATACTCGCGCGAACAGTCCAGCCGCGCCGCCTCCGTCCCTGCCTTTGGCAACACTGGCTCGCACTCCAGCAGCAACGCAAAGGACGTCCAGTCCTTTGTCTCGGACCTCACCAGCACCACCTTCCTCACTCGCAGGGAGAGGGAAGCAGCCGCAGCCGCAGCAAAGTCGTCCTCCACACAATCATCCTCCTCCGCCGCTGACCCATCGTCCAAGCCCAAAAAAGGCGGCCTCCGAAGCTTCAGCGATGCCGACATTGCCATGTACGAGCGAAGGCACAACAATGCCACGGGTTCAGGCGTCTCCCCTGGCCTCGACAACAGCCGCTACTCGGGCGCAGAGAGGCTCACCCACCTCGACCGCGTCACTCCCGGCGCCAACGAATGGTACCGAAGCCAAGGCCTCAACACCCGCTCCGCCCGCGTCCGTGATGCTATCTTCGGCACGGTCAGCGGCGAGCTGCCCGGCCTCGAAATCGTGCGTGAGAGAATCGCAAAGCTTAAGAGCCAGACACCCTCCGAAGACTAAGACTAAGCCCACATGGGTCACGAGGTCGGCCGCTCGACTACCTTTCCGAGCCTAAATCTTCTGCTGTCACGCACGCCAAGGGAGTCGGCTCAAATCCGACAACTTAGGCGTACTACTGCAATGTCAATCTTTTCTGCATTTCGGCAGCGGCCGTGACCCGCCCACTATCGATGTGATCATCAGACCGCACTCGGAGCTTTTAAGCGTGTCCAGCTCCTGCCCATATCGGGTGTGCCGAAAGACGCAGCTGCCTGGTCGTTTGACCAGCAGCACGGCGCAGTTCAGCCCGGCGCTAGATCTCGACACACCGTGAGAACTGGGCCGATCCTGGGTCCGCCGACCGCCCTCCTGGTCCTCAGTCCGGTGCTTATATATAGCGCCGAGCCAGCGCCCCCTAGCACGACTCGAGCAGCTCAAAGTGCAAGCTATCGACCATCCTTGCCCACGCTAGCTCAGTGCCATTCCAGAATCTGTTCTTGCCCCGCCCTTCCTCCAAACGTCAAGCAATGTCTGACGACTCCAAGTTCTCTTCGTTCGAAAACATATCTCCGGTCCGCGATCCTCGTTCCACTGATCAGCCGTCGATGCCGGCCGTTCCAATCATCCTCTTTGGCTCGCAAGGCTCCGACTTCCTTGGCGGCTTCGACGCCATATTCGCGCTCTCGCAACGCCATGCTGTGCTCGCAGCCTTCCTCTCTCTGGCGCTCGGTGCCATCCGAGACGAGCTGCGAAGCGTCGCCAATCGAAAGGTGAACGACGACCTGCCTGGCGACATCGAACTTCTTCCCCATCTCCCGCCGTTTGAGCCCTTCTCGGATCTAAAGTCTCTGGTCAGCCACCATCGCCACACTGGCTTGACGGATCCTGTGATCAACGGCGTGCTGCTGAGCATGCTTCAGACGGCCAACGTCGTAGCTGTCTTCTGCGCCGCTCATCATCAAGCAGATCTCGACGGCCATGCCTCCAGCGAGGCGAAGGCAGTTCTCGTCCAGGCTTGGAAGGCCGTCGCATCGCCGAGCTCTCACTTGCTGGGCTTCTGCACTGGAGCGCTTTCCGCCTTTTCGGTCCGAGGCGTCGTGGAGGACGGACCCACACAGTCGCCGAGGATCATCTGGAGCTACATTCAGCACGCAGTCAAAGCGATCCGCGCATGCTTCTGGATCAGCTTGCGTTCCGCCCAAGCCCGTCATCGGCTCGTGGCGGACAACCTCCCTCCCGTGGAGCCATGGAGCATCGTGGTGGCAGCCAAAGGACCCGAAACTATGGCGCAGATTTCGATTCACCTTCGAGCATTCAACGAGATCGAGCACGCCCGCCCACTGGACAAAACAGGCCCCCTCGTCATCACCGCCATCGCCACCAATCAGGTCTCGATCGGAGGTTGCCCTCAAAAGCTGCAGCTCTTTCGGTCCGTCTTGACCAACGACCTCGGATCTGCTTGTCGAGTCTCTAGACTCGAGATCTTCGCGCCTTACCACAGCCCCGAGCTCGAACATGAAGCCTCGCTCGTTATGCTAGACCTGGAGCGCAGAGGCATTCTCCATGATGCGATTTCGCCCTCGAGCGGAAAGTTGATTTGGGAGACAGTCAACGCACAGGTTGCCCTGGACACAAATATTCGAGACATGCTCAGAACGCTGGTCGAGAGCAACCTCTGTCGGACGGCCGACTGGGATGCCATGATCAACAATTTGATCCTGCGGGAGGAAGGATCGTCCGATTCAACTATTCCCAAGTCAGGCCTGATCGTCTCCCTTGGACCGGGCATCCATCTCGCAGCTGATCTTCGAAAGCGTTTTGGTGATCGAAACGGAGCAGGAGAAGTCGCCGTAATCGATGTCCCAACGCTTCTCCAGGAAGATGCGCTGCGAGTTTCCTACCCGACGTCGGGTCTGACTGGAAAGCCTCTAGCGCAAGCCGAAGTGCACGGAGACGAAGTGGTCGTCGTTTCCATGGCATGTCGCTTTCCCGGAAATGTTCGCAGTCCAGAGCAGCTTTGGACCTGTCTCGAAACGGGTAGAACGACCGTCACGGAGATCCCGAAGCATCTTTTCGACATCGAGGCCTACCGCGGATCCGGCAAGAATCAGACCATGGCGACGCACATGCATGCTCTGTCAGAGGACGTGGTGCGATCCATGGATGCCCGGCTCTTCAGCATGTCTCCGAAAGAGATTGAGCAACTCGATCCTCAGCACCGTCTCGCCATGCTCTGCTCGTTCGAGGCTCTGGAGCGAGCTGGGTACTCTGCAGAGGCCAATTCACCTTCTTCGTTTGACAAGAAGCGTATCGCGGTCTGCATGGGGTCCAGCTGGGACGACTACCGCGAGAATGCCAGCTGGAGCATCGGCAGCTACTTTATCACGGGCAACATCCGCGCATTCATCCCCGGCCACGTGTCCTTCTCGCTCAACATGGAAGGGCCGAGCTTGTCGGTCGATTCGCTCGAATGCTCAGCAGTGTCTGCCATACAGTGGTCGAGACGCGCGCTCCTCAGTGGCCAGTGCGATGTTGCCCTCACCGGCGCCGTAAATCTGATGACACAGCCACAAATGTTCGTTGCGATGGACAAGCAGGGCATCCTTTCCCACAGCGGCACCAACATGACGTTCTCGTCCAAGCACGATGGGGCCACTCGAGGCGAAGGGTGCGGCGTCTTGCTGCTGAAGCGTCGCTCGACCGCCATCCAGGATGGGGACAACATCCTTGCAACCATCTCGGCAGCCCGCACCGTCCACCACGGCGCCCGTGCAGAAGGAGAGGACGCGGTCGCTCAGCAATCCGAGTTTCTGGCAGAGATGCTACGCGAAGGGGGCGTAAGTCCTACGGCCCTTGCACACATCGAGGCGAGTGGCTTCCACACCCAGACCGCAGAGGCAGTGGAGATCGAATCTTTCGCACGACTTTTTGCGAGGCCTCAAGGTCCAAAGGCTCGCTCATCCGACAATCTCGTCTCTGTTGCCAGCTCAAGGCCCAACTTGGGTGCCGGAGAGGCAGTGTCGGCCATGGCATCTGTCATGAAAGCGGTGCTGGTCTTGAATGAAGGCATTGTTCCCAGGCAGATCTCGATCCCTCACTTGTCGGAGCTGCAGCCTCGAATCGCCACCGCGTGCGCTACCTCGCCCCTGTTCGTGCCAACACAGGCACGCTTGCTGCCAGACGAGACAGATGATCACAGGCGTCACGCTATCCTCGTCAACAGTCTTGCCAGCACTGGCTGCCACGGAGCGGTGGTTCTGCAGAAGCCGAAGGAATACGCACGGGGCGGATCTACTGCATTCGACAAAGCTGTTGCGCCGGCGAAGAACGACAATCGTACATGGATCTTTGTGCTCTCCGCCAAGACGAAGGAGTCCGCGGAGATGCTCAAGAAAGCCGTCATCGACTACCTCCAGCGCGAGGTCTGCCTGGCCGACCTGAGCTACTCCCTCGCTTGTCGCCGGACGCACCAGACGCATCGCTTGGTCGTCATCGCCTCGGATCAAGACGAGCTCATCCGGAAGCTTCGTGCTGCTGCCTTCACCGAGGCGAGATCAGCGTCGGATCTTCAAGACCTCGCCTTCTTTTTCGAGACGATCGACACCGCCTCTGTCGACGTCACAACGCTTGCCGACCTTCAAGACCGTTGCGATGAATTCATCTCGACGCCCGGGATGCTCAAGAGTGGCGATGCAGAGCGGTCCTCTGAAGTTCTTCAGATGTGTCTCGCGTCGTTCCTGGAGGAGTGTGGAGTCCGTCCATCCCTCGTTGCAGGACAGATCATCCCGGCCCTGCTTGCGGGAGGCTGGATCGACAGCGACAGTGCTGCAGCAGTTCTCGCAAGCGCCGACATCCAAGAAGCTCCGTCTCTTCAGAGCATCGTCCACAATGGATTCGCGAGCATTCTCACAGCAAAGGGAGAGACGATCCTCGCCGCAAGCCCTCCTGATCTCACCCAATCCTCGCTGTGGGATCAGCCGAGGGACCACACTCTCAGCAAAGATAGACTGCCGGACGGGCATATCTGGATCAGCATCGGCGAGCTCTTGAGCCTGATCAAGAATGGCTCGACAACGCTCAGCAGGGACGAAGCGCATCGATCTAAGGAGGGCGCGAGTCGAATCGAGTGCTCGATCCTCTCACTGTTGGCCGATCTGTACCGACTTGGGTACTCGATCCGCTGGATAGAGATCTTCCGACCTCACTTGTCCCAGTTCCGCTTCATCGAGACGTTGCCCACCTACCCGTTCCATCTTCAGCCGTTTTGGATGGAGTACCGCGATCGCAATTTGCTCAACAGTACCACCGTCGAGAGCGAGGGCCCCTCCTCGACCACCGATCATCCCGCGGACGCCGCTGCAAGCTCTGAAGAGATTGACGACTCAGAGGCACCAACGCAAGCTCTGTTGTCGGCCCAAGTGTCTAGCGACGCGCGGTCCAGCATCTACATCTCCGATCTGGCCGGACAGCCGCAGTCAACGCTGCTGAAGCTCGCCAAACCTGCCGCCATCTCTGTCGAGTTGATGGTAGAGGCAGCGATGGAAGCGAGGTCTCGGGCATCTGTCAACGACCCCACACAGCTGGCAAGGCGCTCTTGCGTCAGTGTCGTGGATGTATGGCTGCCGCAAGCAGGTCATGAGCTGATGCGAGCCAGCAACGTCGTGCTTGACGTCATCGCTTCGAAGGGCTCGGACATCACTGGAGCCCATGTTCGCATGCACAGTGATTCGAGCTCAGCCGTGGTCGGAGAGCTCCAATACCGCTGGACTCAGGCTGCGGATGCCGAGCGACGATGGTCTAAGCTGCAAACCTTCGTGGACAAAGCAGTCTCGACGCTCCAAAGTGTCGGTGAAAGGCTCGATGCAAAGCTGATCTACAAGAGCCTCGGCGAGGATGGGACCGGTTTCCTCAAGACGGTTCGGAGCGGCTTCCTGTCGGACGAATCACGAGAAGTGGTGTTTGTCATCTCGGCTACCAGCGAGAATGACGCAGCCGGTGCCGGCTTGCTCTGTGGCATTCCTGCGCTTCTTTCGAGCCTCGAGGAGTGCCTCCGCTGGTACAAGCGCAACTTCGATGATGCTTCAGACAGCATGCTCGCGATGACCTCCATCGACTTTATGGATCTTGACGACGACCTGTTCCAAGGTTACGACAAGTCGACGAGCAAGCCTCGGCAATACATGGCTTTGGTCACGCCTGGTCGGGATGCCACCACACGGGAGGCTCCTCACGGAGATGAATGTGTCGACATTCTCCTTCTGAACGGAGACAAGAGCATCATCGGCCAGCTCGATGGTGTGCGCTTGGGCAAAGTCGATGCGCCTCGCGATGGCCAGCCTCCCAGCAAGGACCAAGCATCACCCGCTCCCGTAAAGTCAAAGCACTCAGCGACTCCTCGTGCGCAACGAGCGGAAGAAGCCTCTGCCGAGCCACCTGTTCCGCCCACTGAGTCGCAACGGACGTGCCAGGTCGGACCAGCCGGAGCTGCGGATGAAGTGCATGCCAGGGTCCTCGGTGTCTTGGCCTCCGAACTAGGAATCGCGCTCGAGGAGATGAAGCCTCAGGTCAAGTTCGTCGACCTCGGCCTGGACAGCCTGATGTCCCTGGTCTGCATCTCGACACTGGAATCTCTCGATCTCGGATTCGCGCTGCCACAATCGCTCTTCATGGAGTGCAGCAGCCCTCACGAGCTCCTTGCCTGGATCAGGGAGCAGATCGGGGACAAAGGCGTCGATACCGCTTCGCCATCTGTGCAGTGCCAGCAAGTGGTTTCTGCAGGTAACGTGCCCTCAGGCGCGACACTAGCCAGTCAAGACGATCCCATGACGATCAGCAACGATGAGCGCGAAGCCAATGGTGTCCCGGAGCCGACGAGCGGGAACTCGGCAGTCGAGGAGACAATGGCGACGATCATCTCCACTATCGAGAAAGAGCTAGGCGTTGCAGAGGGAAGCATCGACGAAGTGGCGAACCTGGCGGATCTCGGCATGGACTCGCTCATGTCGTTGCTCGTGCTCGGTAACCTGTCGAGCGAGCTCACTATCCCGCTGCCTTCGTCGCTGTTCATGGATCACACGTCGCTGCGCGAGATCCGCCGCTTCCTCGAGTCCGACCTGGGCGGCGGCCCTGTCGCTCCTGACGTCGAATCACGCTCCAGCCTGCCAGCCGACAAGACAGGCGAGAGCATCGCTATTCCCGAGCCAAAAGCGCCAGTGCTGATGCGCAAGCGCACCGGTCGGGGGAACAGCACACCAGTGTTCCTGCTTCCGGACGGCTCGGGCATGTCGACGATCTACCAATTCCTTCCGGCGATCGACCGGGACGTGTACGCGATCAACTCTCCCTTCCTGGCGGACGCGTCGGTGTGGAAAGGCGGCATCGCGCAAATCGCCCGGTACTATCTCTCAAGCATGAGGCTGGTGCAGCCCGAAGGCCCGTACCTGGTGGGTGGATGGAGTTTCGGCGGCATGGCTGCGTTCGAGATCGCACGACTGCTCGCCACCCAGCCTGGCGCACGCAGCGACCGCGCAGCTGGCGTGTTTCTGCTCGACTCGCCGTGTCCCCCTGTGTACGCTCCGCTGCCGTTCGGCGTGGTCGACTGGATCTTGAGCGCGCCCGAGCTGCGCGACATTGCACCCGCCGGACTGTCGCCCAAGCTCGCGGCGCACTTCCGGGCCACGGTCGAGAGCATCGTCGGCTACCGTCCCACGGACGCCTTCGCCGGTGTCGACAAGACCAAGATCCCGCACGTGTGGTACATCGTGGCGGACAAGCAGCTGCCTGGGCGCGTCGAGGACGTCGCCGGCGCCAACGAGACGGTCGAGTGGCTGTTCCGCGCCAACCGCGCCGCGAGCGGCACCGACGGCTGGCACAAGTGCGTCCCACACGACCACCTCACCGTCGCGGCCGTCGCCACCGCCAACCACTTTACGCTCGTGCGCATGCCCGCCATCGCCGCTGTCGCCGACATCCTCCAGCCCGCCTGCCACGCCGCGCTGTCTGCGTGATCGTCGAGCCCATCTTTTGTACATGACAGAACCGACCGTTTCCGAACAGCAGCTCCTGCAATGCAGACATGACCCCGCTGATGCTGCGGCCGAACGGTGAGACGTGTGACTGATTAAGACGACCGAGCGTCGCAAGTGAGCTTACAAGTACAGTGGAAGGATGATGGACAAGGTGGTACGGGCGGCAGTGAACAAGAGTGACGAGTGCCAGACCAATGCGTACTGACAGTAGTGCGGCTGGCGACGTTGTGCAGGTGAGACGATGTACTCGGCGGCTCCGGCTGACAATGCTGAGTGAGACAGCCAGTGTTGCACTTGCTGCCGACGCTCACCCGTTCTGAGTAGCGACAAACGCGGCGGTATCGCGGGCATTCTCGAGATCGGTGAGCACCTGCTTATAACTGCCCAACCCCGGCACAGCATGCAACATGCGGCCGAATCCCTCGAGGAGCACATTGAAGTTGTCCATCAACAGGCTGAGTTCTGCGTCGTTGCGGGGCACAGCGATGAGCTGGTCCCAAATCTCATCGTGCAGCTGTTGCGAGCTGAGCTTGAGCGCGTCTGCGACCATGGCGGGATAGGGATGTCGCCACGGCGCCGAAGCCGAGTCTTCGATGGGTGTAAAGTCGTCAGCCTGTTGGGGGGGCCCGTAAAAGCTGCCCTTGCGCGACTTTCCATCCTGGGGTTTGGGCGACAACCTGCCGATGCGCGTGGCTTCTTCGAGTTTGGCGCACTCTGCATTGATGAGTGCGGCCATGTGCGACATGCCGAGAGCGGCTGCTCTGCCAACGATGCGACGCTCGACCGACGAATGCAGCATGACCGAACGCAGCTGCTGGTTGGGTGCGGTGGTGGGTGGTGAGCCGTTGGACGATGCACTACCCTGCGCCCCCGCGCTGGGCGTCGGCGATGTCAACCCGCCCACCTGCGGACTATTCACCGTCAACGGCGAAAACGACAGATTGACATTCGACACCGACGAAGCCGTCTTGGGCGGCGAAGCACTCGCCGCATGCGCCGCATTGAACGCCTGGATCAGCTCGAGCTCGCGCTGCTCGATGCGCTTGGCGAGCTGCGTGAAATGCAGCACGCCCAGATGGATGTGGATCACAAAGAACGACAGCATCGTGCGTGCCTGTCTAGACAGATGCACAAACTCGTCGAGCGCGCGCGCAATCAGCCCATCAAAGATGTTGTGGAACAGCCGAATCGCCTCGAGCACATTCATCACCATCTTCTCCACCTTTTCGGTCACAATGCTCCCGCCGCCCGCGATGAGCGCCTGCACGGGATCCGTGGTGGCCAACAACGTCTCGGTCGCCGCCTGCAACATTCCCACGCGCCGCCAGATGTACACCTCGACCGCAGTACCCCACGCAACACCGAGCAACACCACCTGCTCGTTCAACCCGCCACCCGGATTGTTAATGTTGATGATCGAGCCACCGGCACGACCGACGTCGGGATCCTGGGCGCCGATGAGCACGTCGAACGGGATGGCATTCGCGAGCGCGCCCGGATTGCGCAGCAGCGCCGGGATGAGGTCGCGCGCACACGCGGCCCGCTCCATGATCCTGCGCGACATCTCGGTATCCACCTGAAACGTGCCGTCCGCCTCGTTCTCTTCGTGCATGTACGTCTCGGACGTGCCCGGAAACGCGCCCGGCGGCGCCTGACGAGCCGGCAGCAGGTTGATGGTGTCCTGCAGCGCAAAGAGCGCCTCTGCGGTGCGATCGGGCGGACTGTTGGCACTGCCGGGCGAAGGAACAGGCACGCCCGGATCCGTGCCCGAACCAATGCCGGTGGACTGGTAGACCAGATTGTCCTCGCGCATGCTCGAGCGGCGGCCCTGCGACACGTGCGTGACCGTGTCGATGAGCAGCCCGAACCAGCCGAGCGACTCTGCGAGGCCCATGAGGTCGGAGGCGATGCGCTGGTGCTTGATCACCTCGGCGTTGCCGTTGAGCAGCGGATTCTTGACCGCCTTGTCGACGGTGCGGACGAGGTCGCGACACCTCATCACGAACCACTCGAGATGTCGGGAGGCGGTCTCGAGCGCAAACGCCGCATCCTCTGCCGCATCTGCGCCCGATCTGGCACCACCCTCTGCCAGCGCACCGGGCGGTGGCGCCGTGACACCAAACAGGAAGAGGCCGTACGCGATGCGGCACGAGCGGCGCGGAGCGAGCTGCAAGATCAAGGAGCGTGCGCGCTTCCATGCTGCGGTGGCGATGCGGTCGTGGGCGTCGCGATAGTGCTTGCCGTCGACAGCCTTCTTGGAGGCGGCATCGGCGGAGCTGGAGGTCATCTCGTCGTCGAGGCGGAACTGGCACGCGTAGGCGAGCATGCACGCCTTGACGGCCTCGTCGATCATGAGGTCCCTCTTGGACCTGCGCCAGCCGCCGGGGCCCATGCCGAGCATGTCGATGAAGATGTCGTTGATCTGTGCGGAAGCTTCGTGCGCTGGGCCTGGACCGCGCATCTCGGAGGCGTCCGGGATAGGCAACTGCTGCGGCTTCTCGCCCCACACGCCCATCTCTCCACCGAGGTGGTCGAGGCCGTAGACGAGGTAAAAGAGATTGGGCTGGTGCTCCTTCCTTGTGGATGGTACGTCGACGTGCCACGAGGCCCAGAGGCGTTGCGATAGGTTGAGCGCATCGAGGCCGATGGCGCTGCGAATGTACGCGCCGAGGTCGCCGTCGGTGCGAAGCGGCGAGCAAGCCCTGGAGAGCCAGAGGTTGGCGCCTGGTTCGACGGTGTGTACGTAGAGGCGCATGCGATTTGTGGTGAGGAGGAGCGAGTCTGCACGCATGGCGAAACGGAAGTTCTGGCCGCTGGTGGAGAGCATCTGGGACTCGTTGCGATTCTGCAGGGCCCTGATGAGCTGGTCGCGACTTTCGTGGCTGTTTGCGGAGGGCGAGCTGCCGTCGGAGGAGACCGACTTGGAACGCATGCCGTTCTCGGACGAGTCGTCGGAGATGGCGCGCTTCTTGGAGCCTGGAACGGGGATATCCGGGGTGACGTTGGCGGCCTGCTTGCTCTCGCGGACCGAGTCGGCAAAGTTGGTGGTGCACTCGATGCCGCGTCGCTGGCAGTTGGAGCAGACGAGTTTGGAGCCGCCCGGGCCGCCGTCCTGGCCGGCGTCGGAGAGCTTGCGCTTGTCGCCAGCATGGCCAGCGGCGGGCTGGTCCGAGGCGAGATCGTTGCCGTCTGCATCGAGACGCAGTTGAAAGTCGCAGCCACGCTTGGAGGCGCGACACTGGTCGCAACTGATGTTTTGGCGACGGCGGGTGCGGCGGCGTGGAGGGATGCCGTCCTTGTTGGCTGCTGCGGAGGCTGACGTGCTCTGGTTGGTGGCATCCGAGCCCGAACCGGAAGCGATGCCGTGCTGCGCATCTGCGTTGCTGGGGAGCGGATCTGTGGCGTCGTTGGCGTTGTCGTCGTTGAGTTCGGAGAAGCGGGTGAAGCCTGCGTCGTCGAGGATGGCAGCGGCCGAGTCGAACGTGTCGGCATGTGTATTGGCTTGCTTGCCGATGAAGGCGAAGGAGTCGAGGGAGTCTGGCCTAGTGTCGGCGGGTGGCTGCGCCGAAGCGTTGGTGGGTTCTGATGCATGAGCAGGGATGGCGTTGAGGTCGAGGGACGCAGAGGCGTCCGTGGGCAGCTCTAATCCCGACGGCGCGATCGAGTAGAAAGGCTCGTCGAGGTCTTGGCCAGCGATGTAGGCCTCTGCGATGGGGTCCTCGAAGGTGTTGAGATAGGTGCGGGTTGCTTCTGAAGGCCGCAGCTGCTTTGGTCTTGGAGGGAACAAGACGTCGTTGAACATGGCGTGGTCTATCGCGAACGGCTGGTCGGATGGAGCAGCCATGGCGGGTTGCGCCATTGGAGCCGAGTGGATGGAGGTGGATGAGGAAGCAAAGGCGGACTGCCCGGGCTGCATGGTGGAGGCGGTTGGGTCGAAAGGAGGCGGTTGGAACGCGAAAGGGTTGTGATGGCCCGACTGAGCCTGAGGCGGCGGCATATGTGCGTGCGGTTGGAACGGCGGCGGCTGCTGCTGCTGCTGCACTGGCTGCTGCAATGGGTGTCGCTGATGGTTAGGATGCGTCTTTTGCTGGTGTGGTGGATGCAGCTCGTCGCGGCCATTTTGTGGAAAGTGTTGTCGG